AAGAGGCCCTGCCCGTTGCCCCTGCCCTGGGAAGCAGGAACAAAACCTGATTCGTTCCGGAAGTCCGACTGCACCACTGGGTATCTGGGCAAAGCCCCTTTACAGCCGCTTCTGGGGAGCCCATCCCCCCACGTGCTGGGGCCCCAGACACTAGTCTTCTGTACTGATGACCGTGTTTTGGTGAGACACCCGGGGACAGAGGAGCCAGGCTGGGGCGGACTAAGCCTAATGGAAGAAGACCACTCGCGCTGTGGCGATGGGACAAGAGAAGACAGTCACCAGCATAGAGCGTCCATTACGGCTCCCTGCGGGGCTCACAGCGTAGCGTGGGTCGGAACAGGCAATGCAACGTAACAACATAACAATGCAACATAACATAATACAGATCATAGAGGGTTAATTTTATACTTATTTAATCATGTGACTAAAAAATACAGAGTGCTGCCATGGTCAGATGGCTCCGTCGGTTGGAGCATTGTCCCGTACACCCCCACCCCAAAAAAGGCTGCCCGGTCAATTCCTGAGCAGGGCACATACCTAGATTGCAGATTCCACCCCTGGTCAGGCACGTTCGGGAGGCAACCGATCAATATTTCTCTCTCTCATGTTGATCTCTCTTTCTCTGCCTCCCTCCTTCCTCTCTCTCTAAAATCAATAAACATCCCTGGGTGAGAATTTAAGAGAACATACAAAGTGCCTTCTGCCCTGACTGCCTCCGAGGTTAAGACACTGAACTGGGAACAAAACGGCCTTCCAACTGCTTTCTCCCCTACTCGACACATTATAACCTTTAATCCTGGCCAGAAACATACATTTGGTATTTGACTTTCCCAATGTTTACAGGCAAACTGCGGGTCACTGGAAGAATTGATTCAACAGCCTCAGTGACCGCAGGGCATCAAATTTAAAAGCAGCCCGAGGAATGGAATGTCATGGGCATCCTTGCCCTCATGTTTGCTCAAACAATAAACCAGTCACGGAAAATATTAAAGCACAGTGTGTTCAGATGCCCAAGTATAAAGATTTAAGCTAGATTTTGACTTGAAGAGAGGTTTTTCCCTTTACTTATTAACATTAAGAACATCCATTTTAAGTAATTGGTGATCTCATTTTACACAGTCAATGAGCACAAGCTGTGGTATCAGTCTGGGGTTCAAGTTTGGGCTCAGCCAATTAACGGTGACCTTGGGCTCAATGCTTTGTATAGCTCAGAGCCTGAAGCCTGTAAGGCATTGTCAATGAACTTTGCTAGTACCAGCAATTCCTTTTTGATCAATGTTTAATCCCTTGTCTATTCTTAGTGATCAACAGTCAAAATGAGTTCAAACCGCATAAATCAATAATGATCCTGAACAGGGGAAACTTCTCCCTCCCCTCCCCCCGTTGGAGCGGGATGCGGGGGCAGCAACAAAACTCCAAGTTGATCCAGGCTCCACCGCCTATGAGATCATGGGAACGATTTTTCCGAGGGACCAAGCAATTGGTCCTGAAACAGCTAAGAAAATAAAATATTAAAAAGTGGCTATTGAAATGAAAATCACGACGAAGGAAATGTGGCTTTAAAAATGAAAACAGGCAATATAATGCAAGTTCTGTTTCTGAAACATCTTTGGCATCCATCCTTGTCTTTCGGGCCCCACTGCCCTAGCTCCACGACCCTCGCCGGCCCTCACAGGGACCTGCCACCAGCCCCCCGGCCCCTCCTCCGCCCTTTCACCATCCCAGCATTGGCTACAGCAGGCAGCGAAGAAGTATGGTTTACGAGACAGATGTGTGGTCCCGTTCCATCTGCGCAGAATGGTATGCACGGCTGCGCTTACAGCTTGGATGTATACAGAAAACCTCGGAGAATAAACGCAAAATGTTCCGAGTGGTTCCATAATATGCGATCCATTCTTTTTATAGTTTGGAAACTACTGAGAATTAGGAAAACGTCACTATTAATTTTATAATCGGAACATAATTAAAGCTACTTATTAAAAAAGAAAAAAGAAGCAAGCTGTCAAAGGTAATCTATTGCAAATAGGATAAAGTCCAACCCGGCATTAGAGGTCCACCATCCGTGACCCTGGATTACTTTTCCGGCATGATCTCCTTCTGTATCTCTGACACGTACCCTCAATTGAAAAGACACCAGACTGTTGACCCAGAAGCAGCCTTCACAGTCCAGCCCCCTCGCCCATCCTGTCCGCACACCTGCCTCTTGCAGACTTCCTCACGCTCCCTTAGAACCAACCCACTGCAAGTGCATGGAGCATTAGTTTCATTTGGGCACATAACACAATCAATTGTGGTTTTTCTCTCCTTCACTCAATGGTAAGCTCTTCAAAGAGAGGTGCCTTCTTCCCAGCGTGCCTGGCTCACTGCCTTGCACCCAGAGATAGTCAATAGATGTTTGTGGAAATAAATTACAGAAGTGGAGGATGGTACACCTGGGGCAGGTGCAGAGCACATTACAGGGGTGGGATATGAGCTGGGCTTAAAGAAGGGGTCACATTTAGACAGAAACGACAGCTGATTCCAGTGATCCTTGTATGTTAAAGACACAAGGACTTCCTCCCAGGACATTGTCATCTTTTGGATGTAGATGGCTTAATACTACAGGGTAAGCCGATCCTAAAAGTCCTCCTCTAAATGAGAGATGTATCTTCTTGTCATGCACTTACATAGTTAAACTAAAAGGACACAATATTGACAATGAAAAACTAGTTGCCCGAAACTGAAAGCGTTATCAGAAAACAAAATTAAAGGACCAGTGATGAATTGGAAAATATTTACAGCACAAATTGTAAAGGGTTAGTAACACATGTTGTTTTCCCAATTCTCAATAATTTCCAAACTATCAGCAATTATTAATAAATGGGCAATCAACAAAAGAACAAATCCAAATAGACAATAAATAAGAGGCAGAAAGCTTAACTTACTGGTCATAAAAGTGGAAATGAGAAGGAAATAGCATTCAATGCCGGTGGGGAAGGCGAGGTATTTTTGTGGGGCTGTCAGTTTCCTGGGAAACAATTTAGCAATAAATTTCAAAGAGTTTTAAAAATAATGAGTTCCCTTTGACCCAGTAATTCTTCTAATAGGATTCCATCCTAAGGAATTGATTTTTAAAATGTGCACAAAGTATCATATATAAGCAGCACCATTCCTAAGAATTAAAAACTAGAAACAGTCTAGATTATCAAGTATAAGAAAAAGCGTGATACTACATTTATGTGATTCTAGCATTAAAAATCATCTGTTTTTTTAAAAGAATGTTGTCATTGAGGGAAATGCTTGCAATAAAATATTCAAGTGAGGAGGAAAGATTATATCATATGCATTTGGGAAACAGGGCTGAAGACAGAAGTGGCCTCTGGGAATGAGGGAAAGGGGCTCTTTCTCATTTGCCGTTCTCTTTTTCTTTCCAACACGTAACAATAAAAGTAGAGGCTATACGTCTGATTTGAATGCTTCCTGTGGGCCAAGCACTGCTCTAGGTGTTTTGTGTTTATTTTCTCACTTAATCCTCACAACTGCCGGACAACGTAAGCACTGGACTATTATTACCATTGCCCTTCAGGGGGAAGAAAACTGAGGCTCAGCGAAGTCAAGCCAGTAGCCAAAGGTGGAGCTAGGATTCAAGGGTGGGGTTTTGACTCCAGAGGCCTGCTCTCTCCAACTACGGCTCTGAGGTCTGGTGCCTCCAGTTCTCCGCGCCTAGTATTGTGTTTGTGAATCAGGGAAGGGGCCCAGGCGCGGCCCTGGCCCGCCCTCCTCCTCCTCCTCCTCCTCCTCCGGCCTAGCTGCGTACCTGCCTGATCACTTCAAGTTCTTGCTTAAATACGACCTTCACAATGACTCCTACCCTGAACACAAGGCTGCAGAGTGCAACCTGCCCCTCTTCTGTTTTACTCTGCGTTAGTGTTTCCATAGTATATGTCTAGCATATTATACACTTGTCCGATTCGTCAGATTCCTTCTGTCCACCCCGGGCCCCACCCCCCCACCCCCCAGCCGTGTGAGTGCCGCTGCAGCAGGGGTTTTTATCCGCTCTGCTACCCGAGAGATCACAACCCGAAAAGGTACTGGCATGAACAAGGTGCTCGACATATATGTGCGGATTAAATGAAGGTTTAAAATCATAACATGATTCCCATTTCACATTCTTATTTTAAAGCATAAGCATGTGTAACGGATACGGGGGAGAATAAAATATTTCAAAATGTTCATGGTGATTTCAAGCGATATTTTTTCTTTTTTATGTTTTCCTGTGGTTTTATTCCGATGTGAAAATGTGTTATCTTATTATGAGAAAATTGCTTTTTAAAACGCGTCTTCTAAACCTCGGGCCACATCCGTAGCCACGCACAGCAAGTATCTTTGCTGTAAACTGTATGAAGCCAGGATGAAAGTCATTCTACTATTGAAGAGGTACTGGTGGCCTTTAAAGCTATGACCGTTTTTAAGTGATAGCCCGGTATTTCGTGGTGATTAAATATTTCTTAAAGGAATAAAACCCGAGCCTCGTGGGTCGCCCGCGGCATCCCTGGGGAACACGCCCACCTAGCAACCGGAGCCGAGCTGCCGCAGGCGCTGCGCCTTTAATTCCCGGGCCGGGGTGGGGCGCTGGTGGAGAATTTCCGCTCCCCCAAGGCCCCGGTGGCAGCTGTCACCTGTAAAGCGAGCACCGAACGCGGGGGATGGAGCCCGGCGCCCATTGGACAAAATATAAAGGCAGAAACCTACCCCGAAGACCGGGGGCCGGCGGGCCGGCGGCGGTGAGCGCGCGCCTCGGCCCCCAGCGCCTTTCTCCCGGAGACGCTCAGGCTCTGCGGCGCTGACCCGACCGCGGTCCAGCGTCGGGGACACGCCCGTCCAGCCAGGCGGACACGGTCAGGTGAGCCCGGCCGAGGCGGACGTGACCCCCAGACCCCCGGCTCCGGCGCGCACCGGCGCGAGCCGGGCGTCCGCCTGCCCCGGCTGCCCCGAGCGGAGACCGGTGGGAGGGGCGGCCGCGCTTGCCCGCCGCGCAGACCCGGGCCATGGCCCTCGCCGCGGCGGCGGCCGCCGCGGCCGCCGGGGTGAGCCAGGCGGCGGTGCTGGGCTTCCTGCACGAGCACGGCGGGAAGGTGCGCGACTCGGAGCTGCTGAGCCGCTTCAAGCCGCTGCTGGATGCGGGCGACCCGCGCGGCCGCGCCGCCCGCAGGGACCGCTTCAAGCAGTTCGTCAACGACGTGGCCGTGGTGAAGGAGTTCGACGGCGTCAAGTTCGTGGTGCTGAAGAAGAAGCCGCGGCCCCGAGAGGGGCCAGAGCCCCTGCCCCCCTGCGTCGCCAGCACCGCCGAGCCACTGGCCCCGCCATCCAAGCTCACGTCCCTCTCACGCGTGGAAACCAATGTCTCGGGGGCCCCGTCCTGGGCCCAGCCCGTGGCCCCGTCCTTGGCCCCGGCGCAGCCGTCGGTGGATGCACCCGAGGACCCGGCCCCGCCATCGGAGCCCCAGGACATCCCTGGGGCTCCGGCCTCTGAGCTCACTCAGCCGACAGGGGAGCCGTTGTTGAGCCCCTCGACCCAGCAGTCAGGGGGTCCGGTCGACCCCGGGCTTTCAGCCTTGGAGCTAGCCCGCCCCTCCGAGGGCCTCTCTGCGGACGTGGCTCCACCTTCCAGGGCACCGTCGGAGGCGGCCTTGCCCCGTGCAGAGCCGCCAGACCCGGGATCCGGGCCTGGGGAGACCACGGGGCTGCTGCCAGCCCCCAGGCGCGCGCCTCCCCAGAAGCCCTGCATGCTGCCGGTGCGCTGCGTCCCGGGACCCGCGGCGCTCCGGCTCCGAGCCGAAGAGCAGGGCCTGCGCCGGCAGCTGTCAGAGGAGCCGAGCCCCAGGAGCTCCCCCCCGCTGCTGCGGCGGCTCTCGGTGGAAGAGTCCGGCCTGGGCCTCGGCCTGGGCCCGGGCCGCTCCCCGCACCTGCGGCGCCTGTCGCGGGCCGGCCCGCGCCTGCTGAGCCCCGACACCGAGGAGCTGCCCGTTGCACCTCCGCCGTCTGCCGTGCCCCTGGAGCCGGCCGAGCACGAGTGGCTAGTGCGGGCGGCCAGTGGCCGCTGGACCCACCAGCTGCACGGGCTGCTGCTGCGCGACGGCGGCCTGGCCGCCAAGCGTGACTTCATGTCTGGTTTCACTGCCCTGCATTGGGCCGCCAAGAGCGGCGACCGCGAGATGGCTCTGCAGCTGGTGGAGGTGGCGCGGCGTGGGGGCGCGCCAGTCAACCTGAACGCGCGCTCCCACGGCGGTTACACGCCGCTGCACCTGGCGGCTCTGCACGGCCACGAGGATGCCGCGGTGCTGCTGGTGGGCCTGGGTGCACAGGTGCACGTGCGCGACCACAGCGGGCGGCGGGCCTACCAGTACCTGCCTCAGGGCGCCACCTACGCGCTGCGCCGTCTACTGGGCGACCCCAGCCTGCCAGGCTCTGCCGAACCCAACGCCTTCGGCGGGGGTAGTGGCAGCCTTGCGGCCCGGCGCCCAGTACAGGTGGCCGCCACCATCCTAAGTTCCACTACCAGCGCGTTTCTGGGCGTCCTGGCCGACGACCTGATGCTCCAGGACCTGGCTCGAGGCTTGAGGAAGTCGGGCTCGGGCTCCTTCACCAAGTTCTTGGGTGCCTCGCCCATGGCTCCGCGTAAAAAGACGAAGAGTCGCAGTGGCGCGCCGGCCTTTTCAGAAATCTCCCGGCGATCCACTGCGGGCCCCTTCGCTGGGCTGATGCCCAGCCTGCCCCCCACAGCCTGACAGTCCCTGAGGCTGTGGCTCGGATGGGCTAACTGGGCCTGCCGCTCGCAGTCTAAGCTTGCCGGTGACCGCGGCCCAACACTTGCATTCCATCCCGTTTCCAACCTTGTCCCTTGCAGTCTGTTCTACCCAGGTGAGCCTACACCTGCCTCCAGCTTCTGTCTGAAGCTGGACCTGTCTCCAGAACGGGGATTGAAGATCTCAGCGAGCTTCCTCTGAAGAACACCAGAAGTCAGGCTTGGACTTTGGGGAAGACTTGAAATTTGGGATTGAAGGCCAAGGGGCAGCAGCTGGTCTAGCCCCTGAATGAGTTAACCCAGTGCCTCTGCTTCTACACACGCCCAAGCCCGACTAGTTGCAAGGGTCTCTTTAAGTGCTGTCTGAGGGTTGGGTGGCTGGTCAGCTCTGAGATACTAGTGGTTTTGTAATTTGATGCTTTTATCCCGTTTTTAAATTGAAATTAGGTAAAAAAAAACAACCACTTTTATAATAACCTTTTGCAATTATATTTTTCCATTTTTTAGGCAAAATGCTCAGAAATTTTTGATCTTTGGTAGAGATTTTGGAATTCTATTTTAAAAAAATAATGATGAATATCTAAAAGAAATTGCCCTGGCTGGTGTGGCTCAGTGGGTTGGACGGATGTCCTGCCAAGCAAAAGGTCGCCACCAGGGCACACGCCTGGGTTGTAGCCCAGGTCCCGGCTGGGGGCTTGCAACAGGCAGTCAGTGTTCCTCTTGTATGTGGGTGTCCCTCTCCTTATTTCCCCCCTTCCCATCTCTCAATAAATAAATACATACATATACAAACACAAATGAATGAATAAATAAATAAATAACATCTTTTTTAAAAAAAAGATCTAAAGGAAATTAGCCCCAACCAACAAAATCCTTAAATGTTTATCTACCTCGTTTTAGGCAATGAAGATTCCAGAGTCTTGAACACAGATTATGACCATTGTATGTAATTCATTTTACTTGTATTCTGAATGCTAAATATCAGGAAACAAGTGCATCTTGGGAGTAATAGCGATTTAACAAGAGAAAAGAGACATTTGGGCAAATACTTTTAATTAGTGGTTTTCTTTATGGTGAGATATGAACATATGTCTTTGGCACTGGTGGGTGGCTATTCTGATTTGGCATGGATATTTAATTGTTTTAAGTGTGTTTCGTGTGAATGGTGCTGTCATACCATGTTTCTGAATCTGTGGTGTTTTTCAAATCTGGCTGAGGCTTTCAGTGAAGTGGGTAAACGTTCAAAGTTGCGCCACCAGCTTTGTCCCTTGCAGTCTGTTCTACCCAGGTGAGCCCACGCTGTTTAATGGTTTAACAACCATTAAAAAAAAAGTTGTAGCATTACACCAGGAAAAAAACTGGTAAAAGAGTAATACCATTACGGACCAACTCTTTTATATGAAAGTTCTATACAAATAGAAAGTACATGATATCCATTTTTTAAAAGCCATCTGAAAGCAAACAATTTTTTCCAAAACAGTAGATTCAGAATCTCTCTGCTCACCGACCTTACATGGGTGACTTCATGTCTCAGGACCTTTGCTTGCCTCTGTAACGGAGCAGGTTTGCGTGTATTGCCAAGATCTCCCAGGTTCAAGGCAGTGTGATTAGAATGGCTCTTTTTCTGTTTTAAAGATGTGGAATCTATTTGCTCAGCCTTTTTTTATGTCATATGGTGGTAATGCTCTGCTTTTGCAAATTGTGTCTGCATGTCCTTAGTTATATCAAATAGCTTCTGTGGCACAGGGCAGTGGGGCTCCCCTGCCATATACGAGTATCTATATCAGCGAGGCCTCTGAAATTACTTAAGACGGTCCTTCATAGAATGCTTTGATTTAAGCAATGAAATAAACAATCTCCCATTTTGTTTCTGATTGTGTGATGATGCACTTCCCTTGAATCTTCTATAGCTCTTGCCACTGTACTTTTTCTTTTTATTATTATTTTTCCTTTTTATTGAGTGTATCGGGGTGACACTGATTAACAAAATTATACAGGTTGTGGGTGCGCAGTCCCATGACACATCATCTGTACGCTGTACAGCGTGCTTACCACCCTTGTCAGGTCCGTCCTTCACCGTTTATCCCCCCATGCCTTCCTCCGCCTTCCCTCACCCCCCTTTGCCACTGCGTTATTCTTCTCTTCTCCTCTTATCTACTTAATTTCTTCCTTTTCTCCTCATCTTTCTCCTGCCTATTGCAAGCATTCTATCATTGAAAGAGTTGGACTAGCTCTGCAAAATAAAGGCATCCACCATACGTAGCTCTAGCTGGCAAAACTGTAGATAAATGTAAGCTCCGATCTGACCCTTCCCACCTTCCTTGCCTGGAACTCTAGCTAAGGTGCATAAATTATTTTAAAATGCAAATGGAATCTTCTGCCTCTGCAGGAAAATGGTGGGCGGCAATAATGACAGCCATCGGGGTGGCTGAAAGCCTAGAAGACAATAAAATGTTAGAGATTTTCCATGGTAAACTAGAGGCTTGACTTGACAAAGATAGGGTAACGAAGGTCACAAACATTTATGACCCATCTTAAGAAAGATCAAAATGTAAACCAGTAGGGCAGTGGTAACAATAAGCATTGTTTTTTGAACACTTAAATCAGAGGAGGGTTACTCAAATGGCCAGAAAAATCTTTGTGTTGCAAAGGGCGTGCTGGGAGCCTTCTCAATGAGGTAAAGCATTTGGCAAGAGCTTAGGACCAATAAGCCTTAGACTCAGGTGTTAGAAACCACTGCTTTTTCATTGCAGGCCAAGACTTTCTGAAACTGTAAGGTAAGTTGGTAGGAAACCATGGATGGATGTGCACATGGAAACTTTTCAAGAACCATCTATTGCCTAGCAGGAGGTACACCTATGGAAGGGGACTTCCAACTGACACACACAAAAATAACTGTAAGTTAAGGCCATTGAGCTGGCTGGAGTTCTCACAGGGACAAGAATCACCCCTTTCAGTGGGAGAACTGTGCAATAGATGCATGAGTCATGTCCAGAGCAAGCTTTTTAATAAAGTTTTCTATTTCCTTACCAGAAGGTTGGAGGTAGTTGCTGAGCGTGTCTCACTCACCAAATGCAGAGCGGGGTGTGGGTAATGCATATGCGGCCTGTGTTTATTACGTGCAGGGCGCAGTTCTGAACACTTTGCAGGTAGTAGCCACAGCCTTACACGTACGTACTGTTAGCATCTTGATTTTAAAGTGAGGAAACCGAAGCCCAGAGAAATTTTAAGTGGCTTGTTCAGGCCTCACAGCCAGTTAGGCATCGGAGGCGGCATGGCGTCCTGGGCTCTTCCCATTGCCGTGTCCTGCTGCAGGAAAGCAAGGCGGCCTCGGTCTCAGCCCTTCGCTCACTCAGTCACCCAGGCAAGTCACCCAGTTTCCCAACCTCCATCTCCCCTTTCTGGGGGACAGAAGACTGGCAGGACCATCCCTACCGACTGTGGGGAGAGGCGCACAGGAAGTGTAGGTAGAGCCGCCTGGGAACCTCAGGCCAACCCGAACCACCAGGGGTGCGGGCCAGGCCCCACAGGGGTATCTGGCTACCCTCCAAAGCAAAGGAGCTCAGGTCGGTGGCTGTGCTTCCCCATTCTTTTACCATGTTAATAAATGCATACATAAATAACAGCCGACGTTGCTAGGAAAATTTCCCACAGAAGGGAAGTTATTCCATATTCTTTATGGAATATCCATTTAGTTAAAATAGATATAACAATGTCTTTCTTAATTCACATTCCTTTAGAATCCCTACCCCCCACCTTCCAGAACTAGACAGTGGCGGTTCGGCCCTCAGCACACAGTTATAAAGTTAGGCACACCCAGGACATGCATGCTCCCCTCTTTTGGGCTCTTTCCTGGAAGAAGTTATTTGACCGTTTAAAATGTTTACGTAAATAAACTCTATTGCTCTCCAGATGGCTTTCGGCCTTGAACCTCCGTCCAGGCTTCGGCATTCCGGACCTGCCACGCCTCTGGACTTGAACCATGAAGCAGAGGTGGCTTCACGTGTGACTACTGAGGAAGAGGAAAGAAGGAAGAGGGAGAAAGTGGGGGGAGGGGTTGGAGGGACAGACAGACGACGGGTAGGTGTGTGCAGACCTCTCCTCCAAAAGAAAAGTCCTAGTAGGAAGTTGATGCTGATTTACATTCCAAAGGCAACAGGTAAACTACCCTACGTAACCGTCTACACTGCGGCCAAGCTGTGACTGCGACTGCAGGGCGGCTCAGAAAGGCGCGTTACAGCGATAGCCGCCCGCGCCCCCAGCCCCAGCCCCCCGCTGTCGCCGCCCGCGCCGCGGCGCTCAGCTACTGTCGGCCTGAGCTCCCTCTTAAGCGTCCAATTGGCGTGGGAGTGAGCAGCGCGCGGCGGCGAGGGTCCCCGAGGCTCTCGCCACCGCTCGAGAGGGACGCGGTGTGCGGAGCCGGCTGTTCCAGGCAGGCTGCGCGCCGCTTTCGGGCGGGCGGAACACTGCTTCCCTATTGCGTTTCCAATTTGCAGTCTGAAGGTAAAAGTACACTAATTACATCCATATTAGGAGCAGCAGCGAGGGCGGAGGAGCGGAGCCGCGGAGGCGGTCGCGGGGCTGCCTGTTGCCCAGCAACAGTCCCAGCCTCAGCGGGCCCCCGGCCGAGCCCCAGGCACCGGCGTCCGCAGCGCGGCGGGGGCAGGGCGAGCAGGCGGCCGCGCAGGCGGCTTCAGGAGGTCGGGCCAGAACCCCTACCGAGCTCCGTGAGACCCTCTGTTCCACCTGGAGGGGACTAAGTAAGGCTCTTCTCGATACCGATACTGGAGATCAACAACCCCGGCTTCCCTCCTCCACACTTCTCATTAACCAGCAACAAAGGAAAGCAAGCCAGCCTTCCCAGGGCTGCCAGGCCAGAACTGCTCGCCGACCCGGCAAACAGGCCCGCCCCAGCCTTCAGGCCCAGCCCCAGCCTGCGGGGCCAGGCAAACGTCCCAGTGGCTGGCCCAGAGGGCCTGGTGGCTTCCCGGGGCTGCAGGTGGTCACGGGCAGGTAACGGCTTTCATTGTGAGGAGAACAGTGCCCTCTGCTGGCAGTACCCTGGAGGGTGCAATTCACCGGGCCCCGGGGCCCTGCAAGTCTTGGTCTGTGGTACCAACACGACCACCAGCGGTGAGCTCGTTCCCGCCGCCTGAAGGGATAACGGAGTGAGAGGGAAATAAACTGGGGCAGGAAAGAGACACAGGAAACATGAAGGGACGGGCGCAGTTGGTGTCCACCTACTTTAGTGGCTCCCCTGATGCGGTAGGGACAAGCAGAGAAGCCTTGGAAAAACTCAGCACAGAACCAAAGTGCGATTTCACTGGACAATGCTCCCCCGGCCCACCCCAACCTGGGAGTGTTCTCTGAAATATGCCATTTCCACTGGCCTAACGACCCCGTTAAGCGTGTTTCTAAGAATATCACAAGCGGAGAATGCAGGGGGGCCTGTATAGGGCGAGAGGCAGAAATAAGTCGATTCCATCCAGAACGCATCTAGAAGCCAGCTGCCCTGCTGGACTGAAGGCCTTGGAGCAGAGGCTCTGCCCAGTGTTCAAAGCATAATGTTAGAACCCGCAACTGCCTCAGCAGGAGCCCCATATGTTTTTTATAAAATGGCACAATGTGAGCATTGTTCTGTGCTCAATAGCACGACTGTTACAACTAATGCTTTTGCTATGAATACGACCATTTAAAATTCCCAACCAGTTGCACTTAGTGACAATAAGAAACAGAAAACAAGCCCAGAAGCAGAGATTTCTCACTTTGGGGTCAGTTGGCTTTAAATACACACACACACATGCCTTTTAATGCACCCACGTTCCAAAAATACGCTGAATCTTTGCAGGAACAATGCTCTTCTCCTTGGCGTTTGCAGCTATAAATACGAAAGCTGATTTTCACATGTGTATTTGAGAACTTGACATTGATTCTGTGTACACAGGGCTGACGCACAAATAGAGTGCGTGTCCTGTGCTTCAGCCCCTAACTGCCCCTTCCCAGCCCCACTCTCCCCCAGGGGGCCGGCTGCCTCTCCAGGCCCTCGACCCTCACACGGTAGGTCTCCGCGGCCCCGTGATTCGCCTCCTGTTCCCACCCGCACACGCCCTCCTCAAGCCTGGCCGACCCAGTGCAGCCTCCCAGGAGAGCAGGATAAACTCAATTTTGATAACACAGTTGGGAGAGGAAGAAAGCTCTTGGAATGAATTTCCCCAAATGTTCAAGTGTACTGGGGACTTGTCAGGATTCTTAGGCAGCAAAGCATTTGAGCCCATTTTCCTTCTGGGGACTTTATCCATTGAGTCTTGAAGGGAGGCAGCACCCCACTTCCACCACTGAGGCTGGGGGCTTGGGTAAAACCAGCCAAGGAGACCTGGACTCAGCCCATCAGGCCTGGCTTCGGGGGTGGGACCAACACCAGGACAGTCAGGGATCATTGGTGGCAGTGGAGTTGGGGGCCCAGCACCACCCCCCGCCCCCGGGTCCCAACTGTTTTTAAACCTGCCTCTTCAGTCTTCCTCACTCTCCAGACCTCGCTGATATCCTCCAGCAAATAAATGCCTGTTCTGCTCAGTCAGGCAGGGTTGGCGCCTGTAATCAGTAAGATACTTCCCCCAAACCATGTTCCAGATGACGTACACTCTCCTCGCATCAGTTTTTATTGAGAGGGAAAGAGGCTATTTTGCACCTTGAGATTCTGCCTTGTCCCCTCTCCCTTCACTCTGACCAAACCCCTCTCATCACAAGAAGGGGCCATACTGTGGTTTATAAAATCCATAAATTAATTACCAAATAATCCACAAAACTTGGGGTGAGGCCACATGTCAATACTTGGAAGAAGTATCCTGGAAGAGCCCAGCCTGGGTCATCCCCACCCTGGGGGAAAAGCACCCAGCAGACCAGCGTCCCCCCAGCAGCGCGGTGGACGGCACCGGCAACGCTCTGCGCCTCTACATGGTAACTAAATAAGCAGAGCGCGGAAGGGCGGTTTATCAGGAGGACGGGTCCCTGGGGGCGAGGCCGGCCTGGGAGACAGGGGTCGATGGCCAAGGCTGCTCCTGACGGCGTCCAGTTGGTCTTGAAGGAGCCGGACCCGCTCATCCAAGCTGCGCTGCTGGGCCAGGACGGCGGCCTTGCCGGCCAGGAGGGCGCAGTAGGCGTGCAGCTCCCCGGCGGGCAGTGCCCGCATGAGAACCTCCCGCAGGGCCCGCTCGCGCCGCGCCACGTGCTCCTTCAGCTCCCTGGCATCCTCCTGCTGCCGCTGCAGGAGCCGGAGACGTTGCAGCAGCGAGTCCTGGAGCCCACAGGGAGAGGTACCGTCAGCAGGGCAAGCGCGTCCGGCCTTCCTGCTTTCCTGCAGCCTGCACCCTTTACCTGCTCATCAGGGTCGCTGTCTGCCGCTGTCCGGGCCAGGGCGCGGTGCACGCGAGCTAGGCGACTGCCCAGTAGCAGCAGGAGGCCAAGCACGCGCTCTAGGTCGGCCATGAACCGGCTGAACCGCTCCAGCTCGCGGGGTGCACAGGCCTGGCCTACCGCTGCCTCCAGCGCAGCCCCGCGCCTGGCCCAGGCCTGGGCTGCCCCCTGCAGCTGCTCCTGCTCAGCCTGAAGGTTCTGCAGCATCTTTTGGAGGAGGTCCGCTAGCTCCACCTGCAGGGAGGGCGCGGGACTTAAAGCTGGGGCTTGGCCCCTGAGGTCTTAGGCCAAACTCCGGTCTCTTGTCCCATCCAGCTTCCACCAGCCCAACCGCACTCACTTTCTTAGCTTGGATGCTGCTATTTGGCTCAGGGCGACCCTGGCCACATGGCTGGTCAGGCACAGGGTGGCTGGTAAGGTTTTCAGGCCTTGTTTCCTCCTGAGAAGTTGGCAGGAGCTGGGTGGAGCTAGATAGATAGGGCAGGGGATAAAGCCAGAGCTCTGTGGGTTATCATGGCCCAGACTGCAGGGGCTTAGAATCTCCCCCGCCCGGGTGCCCCTCACTCACCCCGGCTCAGAAGTGCCAGCTGCCTCCTCCCCGGCCTTGCCACAGGCTGGCCTCATTGCAGCCCAGACCTCAGCTAAAGGAACCAGCCCATCTAGCAGGTCCAGGGGAGGCTCTGGACTGGGATAGAAGGTGAGAGTGTCACTCAGAGAGGGATCCAGTCTGGCCAGCTCCTGAGCCAGCTCTTCTAGGCGGGGACTGGGCCATGCTGGCCGGGAACCAGGCTGGCCAGCGCCCCAGGCCAGGGCCGCGTCATCCGGAGGACCTGGGGTCTCCCTGCCGGGAGGTCCCCGGGCATCAACTGGAAGGGGTTCGAGGGAGCCACCCTCTGCTGCCACAGGGAAGTCAGTCATCAGCAGCCCAGTGGAGTCAACGGTGGGGATGTGGCCGTTTGCAGCCCCAAGGGGGCTGCAGCGCATGGGCCTGGAGGTGCCCGGAGAACCGCGGACGCCCTGCCAGCGGTCATCTGCCCCTGCGCTCTCTGGGCCCTTGTGGAGGGGGTGCGCTGCGGGGATAGCAGCCCGGTTAGGCCTTTGGCTCAAGCCAGCTCCACACTGCAGGTCGGAGGCACAGACACTGGAAGTGGAAGAGGCACTGAATTAAAACGAGCTCTGGCTGAAACCCAGTGGTGGTCTCCAAGGGCCGTCGGTCCTCACCCCATCACCCAGGCTCCCGGGCACCAGCATCGAGGGAGTTCCATGCCCACCCCCCCAGCATTTTGTAGCTATGTGTGGGAAGCGGGTATCTCACACTGCTTGAAGGCAAAAGAGAATTCACCTGGCTGGGAGCCCCAGGGGCGCGTGGGAGTCTGGAGGTGATTTCATTCTGACCAGCGGGGCTTCTTCCAGGAAGACATCATCGTCGGGAAGGGAGGGGAGCCGCGCAGACGCAACGCAGGGCTCCGGGACCCTGTGCTCACAGTCGGTGGGACCGCTCTGGGGACCCGCTGCGGGACACACCACCGTAGGCTCCTTCTGAGTCAGGAACCTGGAGGCAGAGACCCCACACATCAGTGACCAGGAAGGAAGGCAGCTGGGGATTTGGTTTGCAAAAGACAGCAGGAGAAGGCTCAGAATGAGTCGGTGGGAGGCGCTCTGCTTTCCCGGGCTAGAGCTGTGACAGCCTCCTCCCAAGAGGGCCCCGCGCCTCTCACCTGGAAGGTCTGGTCTGGAATAATGGCCTGGGGGGTTCTGCTCCTTGAGGAACAGCCTGGAAAGGCAAAAGGTCGCGTGAAATGTGGCTCAAGTTTTCAGTCTCCAGGCTGCCCCCGCCCCTCGGCGGGCAGCCCTCCTTTCCATACCTGGACAGTGGGCATGGCCCCTCCTGGGCCTGCCCAGGGACCCACAGCTTCCCCTGAAGCGCTCTGAGTCCGGCGGGCCGGCCTGTAGGCGCTGTGGAGCTTCAACGACGGGGGTTCTGGGTCCCCTGTGCTTCGGGGCAGCCATCTGATCTGGTGACCTTCCAACTCTGCCAACGCCTGATGCTGCAATTCCTGGGGCTCAGGCCTGGCTTGGCCCAAGCTGGAGCAGGCCCCGCCGGAGCATTCCCCAGCCGTCCCACCGCCCCGACCCACGCGATCCAGCTTTCCCGGCTCCGAGAAGCACCACTTCTGCTGCTGGTTGGCGAGGCGGCCCCGGCCGGCGGTTCCAGGCGTGGGAACCCCGGAACGCGCCAGCTCCCCTTCGCCGCCGGGGTGGCCGAGCGAAGCGGAGCGCGGGTGCGCCGTCGGGGGCCGCGCGGGGGCCACGGGCCGCAGGCGGGCCGGCAGGCTCATGCGGAGCTCCTTGCGCTGGAAGGACGTCTCCCGGAGGACTCGCCGCTGCGCGCCCTGCAGCCGCTGGCGGTAGGCGGCCCGCGAGGCCGGAGGGCTGGGCGGCTCGGCGGCCCGCGCTGCGGCCTCCGCCTCGGCCGCCAGCGCGTACAGCAGTGGGGTGGCCTGCCTGCTGAGCGCCCCCGAGGCCCCCTGGACCTGCGAGGGACACGGCCCACTGCGTGCGGCGGCCGCGGGCCGGGGCTGCGGGGAGGCGTGCAGGGCAGCAGCGGTCGGGGCGGGGGCCGGGCCGCCCCACACCAAGCGCACATAGTCCCAATCCAGGTACGGAAGGTCGCTCCCCGGGGACGGCGTGCGCGTCTCGGCACCGCCCGAGGCCGCGGAAAAGGAGCTGTAGGCTGAGTCGCCGCGCACAGACAGCCTCCGCAGGTCCAGGCTGCGCGTAGATGAGGCTGGTGAGGCGCGGTCGCCCCCCGGACCCACGGCCTCCATGGCTGTGCCAATGAGCGCTGGGCAGGCTAGCTCCGCGGGGCCTTCGAGAACAGAGACGGTGGGATGGGTGAGGAGCTCAGAGTAAGAAGACAGGCCGCTTACACTTCCCCTCTCTAGACACACTGTCTCAAGCGCTCCGGTTACCCCCAGATCAAGGATGGAATGCGCAATAGGACCAACCCCAAGGAACAGTTCTGGAGGTCGAGGGCCTCAGCTCAGGGAAAGGAATTGGCCTCTGGCCCGTTCCCTGCTGGGTCTCTCCTGGCCGGTACCCCCTGGAGCGCTGAGAATGTACCATGCCCCTTCCCTCCCCAGCCCCGTTCCACCCTGGCTGCTTCCGGGCGCTTTGTTAGCTTCTCCGCGTGCTCTTTCCCTGATAAACAATGGTCGAGAATGTTCTGAAATCACTGGGGAGCCAAGGCAGGGGAGGGGAAGACCCAGGTCAGGTGGCAGAAGCAGCTTTGCTTCGGGGCCCTCCTCCAGCCCAGCATGCTTTATATAAATATTTATCTTGCTTCTCCCAACTGCTATCTGCTTTGCACAGATGAGGACACTGAGATTCTAAGGGGGAAATGCTTTGCCCAGGGGCACACAGCTGGTAGGAGGAGAGCCCTGCCTGGAATCTGGGCCTGCCTCCAATCCTCCTGTGGCCAGAATCAATTTCCTAGAAGCAAACTCTGCTGAAAGCCAGTAACCACCCCGCCCCCACGTCCCCAGCTGCCTGAAGCCTCCAACACAGCCCGAACTCCACTGTGGGAAACAGCTGCCCCCACCTCCCCTCAAACTACTGGCAGGTTCCAGAGTAACGGGGTCCCTGCTTTCGCAGACTGCCTTTTGTCTGGTAATGACAGGCTCACCCCCTCTTCATCCTGCCAGTCTTGCTCCTCCATGGAGCTCAGCTGAGAGGGCTCCCGACCTTCTGGGCTCCCTACGGTGTCCAGGACTCCCCCTCGCAGCCCTTGTCACCCTGCACTGTAATTCTGGGCTTGTCTGTGATTCCTCTTCCCATCCCCGCGTGGGGCTTCCTGAAGACAGGCCCTGTGCTCACTCGTCCCTGGACCCTCTGCACCCAGCATGCAGTCGGTGTTAAAGAGACACGTGCTGAGTGGCACGGGAAGGAGCCGACTTGCAAGGAGCAGGTGGGGGAGAAGGAAGAGGGCCCCTTGGCCTCTGTCCCCTCTTTTCTCCTTCCTATTTGGATTTTCCGGGGAAGGGGGCAGACTGGGTGAGGCATACTCATGCTTCATTAGGAACCAAAAAAGGCAGGCCAGCACAGCCCGGGGCAGGATGGCCAGGAATCTATACCGCCCCAGTGCAGGGGGTGGGGGGCAGGAGTTGGGTGGGTTTACCTGGGTCAGGGGAAAGAGCAGCTTTGAGTCTTGGGAAGCCGGGGCTCCCAATGGGCTCCGGGGGCTTGGCAGGAGGGCCTGCCTTCTCTGAGCTGCTTGGTGGGGGCTGCAGAGGAGGGCAGCCCCCAGCAGGAGGAGGAAAAGTAGGCCCATCTGAGTCTCCTGGACACTATGTGGAGCTCAGAGTCACCCTCCTGTCCCTTCCCCTGAGACCCACAAGCTACAGATTGCTGGGCGGGGCAGGCAGGGAGGTCAGCGGTTAGAGGTTACGGCATTTCCTAAAGGGAGAGGCAGTACCGGCAATGCTCCCCAGAGGGGCCCTCCACTGACTGTCTTGGGACCAGACCATCTCGGCCTCGCCCACCCGGAGGCACCGTCATGCCCACTAAGGCCAGCCCTGCAGCCTGGGCCTCCCACTGAGGCTTGGGGACCTCTTTTGCAAAGTGTTCCCACTCTCTGGGCTTCAGGAAGACAAGCTAATCTGAGTAGCAGCCCTGCCGGGTGAGGACAATTACCTCCCCTAGGAAACCCATCCTGGACGCCCAGACACGAGTCCCCTGTCTCCCCGTCCTCCTGGCCCAGCGTGGGAGCGCCGCCCACCCTGGCTCATGCCTCCCATGCCCGCCCGTGTCAGGCGGCCTGCTGCATCTCCATCCAGCACGGGGGACTGTTCACGTACGAAGATGCTTCCTCAAAAAAGGCCTTGAAAAATTCTTATTTGTGAGTCACGGCATTGACAAAAGAACTTGGAGTCTGCCAAATAAAAACAGCTTGAAGGGAACACGAAAAGGTGGGACATATTTTCTCAAGGCCCTCAACTTGGCTTGGGGATGCTTGTGCAGGGGCGGACCCAGCCGCCTGACGCCCATGCGGGACGCCCCCACCTTGGCAGAGCCTGCTGTGCCAGGAGGGTCCAGCTCCTGTGCCGGGTTTCGGGGCCTCAGCACAAAGAGTAAGGCGTTTTCACACTTGTCTGGCTGCAGGGAGCCTCGGGCAGGCCAGCCAGTCCCCACGGCCAGGGGTGGCCACAGCCCAGGAGCCCCAGCGTCAGCGCTGGTGTCAGCTATGGGCCAGGCCGCAGTGCCAGGGCCTGCAGTGAAGTCCAGGGGCCGCTGCTCAAAGAACTCTTTTGCCAAAGCCTCACTAGAGCCAGGGGCAGCATGGACCCCCTCTGCAAAAACCACCTGATCGGGGTCCTGTGGGGTGCGGGAGGGCATGTGCAATATACGTGTCACCTGAAGGAAAGAGCAAGAGAGGAAGGAGAGAACGATGACTCCGGCGAGCAGAGCTGGGGGCCCGGAAGCTGGCGGTGCAGGCTCAGGAAGGGGGAAGCTGAGACAGGGACCCACCGAGGGGTCCAGCGCTGTTCAGCCAGGCCTGCGGGCTCCGCAGTGCCTGACGCAAGTCTGGCAGTTGGGAGGTTGGGATGTGGGCCAGGCCTTCAGGGCAGCGGTTGGACCAGGCCAGCAGGCTGACCCAGGTTTTCAGTTACAGGTTGTTGGGGAAATAGATGGAGACAGCGTCTAGTGGGTGAAACCACACCAAGGCAGATCCAGGTAAGGTGACCAGAAAGGTGGACAAACTCACATGACCAACAGCGGTCAGGAATTAAGTGGTGCCTCCCTGAAAGCCCACCTCGCATGGGACCTCTCTAGAGAGGTCGTCCAGGCCGCCCCTCCCCGCCGGCCCTCCTCCCCCAGTACCAGGCTCACTGAGGGGACACGCCTGCAATGCAGTCTCCCTGCCAGACTGTTTCCGGGTCCCGGGCAGTGTCTTGAAGCCAAGCACACCATACCAGGTCTAGACGGGCAGTCATCCTGGAAAGTCCCAGGGCTCTCCCTGTCCCCAGAGCCCCTCCCCCATTCTCAAGGGACGCCCGCTCAGTGCCGCGCAGGAGATGCGGAACGCTGGTGGTATCTGGGGCTGTGGGGCCGTGGCGTGGTGCTGCGGTCAGACCGCGTACCTGAGGCTTCAAGCTCCGGGAGTCCGGGCACGCGAGGGAGAGGAGAGGCGCGGGACCGGCGACCACAGGGGGCGGCAGAGTCACGCGGTGCCGCGGCGGAGCGGGGTCGCGGGGACGCTGGGAGAACGGATGGCCGCGGGCCGGCTCATGTCTCGGCCTTTCCTGTTGGGTTCGCCGTCGGGGAGGGAGGACTCAGAATGCAAGCGGGGGCCGCGCAATCTTGGGCGGGAAGGACCCACGTTCTCCAGCGGCCCGTGGCCGAGGGGCAGGAGCGCAGGGTCGCGTAGTGAAGACCCTCCGCGGTCTTTGGCCACCCAAGCGCTCCACCGCCGTCACCCCCAACCCCCTGAAGCTCCCGCCTCGCGGCGGGTCTCATCCCCGCCCCCAGACTGCGCGGAGAGCACCGGCGCACAGGGGCCCCCTAGACGCGCGGAGTCCGCACCTCCGTACCCAATGTCGCACCGACTGCCCCGCGCCGCGCAGCTACCTGGCTCCCGGCCCCTCCTCGCCGTGGGGCTCGCCCTGCCTGCTCCTGGGAAGCGGGAGGCCGACCCGCCGCCGCGCCGCATACCTGAGCTCCAGCCCGAGAGGTGCTCCTGGGCGCCGGCGGCCGCGTGGTGACATCAGAGCCCCGGGCTCCGGCTCCGGACCCCACCTCCGGGCTCCGATCGCCGCGGGGGAGGCGCCACGTCCGGCCGCGGGGGCGGGAGCGCGAAGCGGCGGCTGCCCCGGGAGCCGCCCGCCCCTTCGTAGAGTCTGAGTGCAGTGGCCCCGGGCTCGGGGCGGACACTAGTTCCGCGCCTACTCGCGCCTCTCGCTCGGAGCCGGGGAAGCAGGAGCGCGGCGGGAGGAAGGGCAGCCGCCGCGCTGGCCTGCCCGCTTCAACGGCGCCCGCGGCGCGCGGGCCGGGCCCCTGTCCCCCGTCCCCCGCCCACAGGCCCCTCTGTGGGGGAGCCCAGGCCGGGCCCCAAGGCCTCCGGACGACCACCCCCTTCCTTTCAGGCTTGGCCAAGAAAGCAGACCGGCCTAGGGCTGTTGCCGCTGTTCCTGGGGACAGTTCGGTTGAGATGGCAACGCACCCTTCGACCAACTCTGCAGCGGCCCCATTTCCAAAACGCTTCCAGCTTTGTCACTCCCACCGCGGGCTCCTTCCCCTCGTTTTTACCCCTTTCTTTCCATTCCTTTCACTGCCCTGCATTGTCTAGGCCCTCCTGGCCAGCCCCCCCGACCAGAGGGGGGCCGCTGCCTTGCGTGTCCACCCCTGCTGCCCTCGGTGGGTCCCTCGGGTGCCGGGCACAGGCATACGCCCTGCGGCCTGCGTAGGGGCCGCAGGCTGGACGGGGTCTGGCTCGCCAGGTCGCGTCTTCGGGCGCCTCTACCTTCCTAGCGGGCTCTGCGTTCGTTCACCCGCCACCCTGCTCCACGCCCTGCCATGTCCTCCGTCTCGCCCACCCCCACTGTGCACGCCTCTCTCCTACAAATACTGGCTCTGCCCAGAACTGCCCGGCCTTGGAAGGGGCTGGGGGCCTTCCCCGGGCCCCTCCCGCTCTCAGGCCTCTGCTCTTGGTGTGGGCGGCCGGCCCTCTCTGTCCCACAGAATGGGCGTGAGGGCGCAGGGGGTGGAGGGGGGCATGTCCCTCATCTCGGCGGGCTTAGACGGTAGAGCTTTTCGGGGGAAATAACTGCGACCCAGGACTCAGCGCAGGGGCCAGAAGCAGGGTCAAGGCCGCTGCTTCCTGGGCGCCTGCGGAGCTCTGTCTTCCTGGGTCTCCCGAGGCGGAGGCAGCAGCCCTGGGGCCTGGGTTCTGACTGGTGCCCCTCCGGCTCTGCTGGGGCCCCAAACACCGCCCGGTCCGGCCTCCCGCGGCCTCCGCGGCTGGGGCCCGGCTTGGAGACAAAGGCTCAGAACCTCGGCCTGAAGAGCCCGGCCTTTTAAGACCCCGAGTCACGTGGTTGGCCTCAGAGTGTATCACCCACGGTGGAAGGAACGCAACCCAGCGACTAAAGGTCAATTAAAAATTGCTCGTTTTTAATTCATATATTAAATTTTATATTAAAAAGAAACCTATGTCTTGAGAACCAGGAAGCGGGTGCAGCGTCCACAGTCATTTTTATGAATCCACTGCACTTTCCTGTCCCTTACTTCTTCGCGCCCTGCAGCTGAGCTCTGCCTAACACCGGAAAAGAGAAGCCCTGCCCCACGCTCCCTGCCCGCCCGGCCTCTTCTCTCCTGAGACCGAGGCACGAGGCCCCTGACGTCCGGAAGCTGGCCTGGTGCGGTCAGCGAGGTCCTGGTCCACGTGCACCGTCACGGCTGCGTGTTCTGTTGCATCTAAACAATTTCACAGGACGTTCACGTCAGACAAGGCGCCCCGTAACCGGAGCGGTTTGAGACAACAAGACCACTCTGTAGTCAGATCTGGATGCAGATAAACCGTGAACATTGTCCATATCACAAAGATGACCAAACAGCTTTCTGTGCCCGTGGAGAGGAGTGACTGCTGTTTCTTTACCAATTGCGGCCTCAGCTTTGCTCTAGTCATTCGTCTTTCCGGGTAATGTTTGCTAAGATACCCACTCACAGAATCACTCTTGCTTCCTGACAGCATCCACCACCGAGAAAAGCCCTGCTTCCTCACGTCCCTCCAAACCTGCCAACACAGGCCCAAATCCTGCCGGTGCTTCCGCAGGCCCTCCTAGCGAGGTGGCCCATGGTTCCGCATGCCGTATGTTCCCCCTCAGCACAACAGACGATGAACCCAATTTGTTCAACTGCAGGCGTCTTCCTGGGGGTCTTTGCCTGGAGGACATCGGCATTTTGAGCCTCTTTATTACAAAAGCCCAAAGAACCTTGGAGAGGAAGGGGAAGAAACTGCTGCAAAGCCGGAGTCTCCTTTAGTGGCCTTGGGAGGATGGAGACGCGCACATATTTATTACGTTTCTCTACAACATATAAGGACAGGTGCCTGTGCACCTCCCTATCTCAGCACTTTCCCAGGCCCGGGAGAGCTCTTTCAAGGAGCCCTCTGGGTGATTAATCAGCTTAGCCAGGGTAAGAGCCGCAGGTCTCGCTCTTCCCAGCCAGGCCCGAGCTCAAGGGGCGGACGGGTGGGAAGGAGCTGGGCCTCCCTTCCACGCGGCCTGACACTTGTAGCCTGAACGGATGACATCACAGCAAAGCAACTGTCCACATCACAAGTCTCTGTGGCTTCTTGCTTTGGCATCCACTCTCCGCTGGACATGGGGACATGATGTGGCAATGGTTTGAATGCTAAAGGCCACATCGTTGCTGTCAGGCCCTGTGCTGAGTGCTTCGCTTGTCTTTCTCAGCCTTGTTATTCCTGAGAAGCCAGTATCATTATAGCCCCATTTTACAAGCGAGAAAACAGACGCTTGCAGAGATTAAATATCTTGTCAAGGTCAAGTAGCTCATAATCAGGAGAGGCAAAATCTGACCCCATGATGGCTGATTCCAAAGGCCATTTTCACATGACCAGAGAAAAGAATTGCAAGACGTGGCTGGCACGCCGCCTTCCTAGGAGAGCAGGACTTGGACTTGGGAGTGAGCAGGACAAGAAAGCTAGCAGGCGAGGCGAGAAGCGAGCGGCAGCAAGGACGCGGTCGGGGCTCCCCTCTCTGTGCGTGGCCTCAGCAGTTCCTCACGTGCCTGGCCCGAGTCGTATCTGGTGTCCAGCGGTTTATTCCAAGGGGCTTGTAAAGCATTTCTGTCTGTAGGTACCTTTGCAAGAGGTTCTGCCCCTTGATTATTTTTATTTGAAAGTATATATTAGGGTGCATTCAATATCAGTTCGTAAGTTATATCTGTCTTTTAAACAGGTACATCATTATTCATTGCATGGATACAAATAAACTGAGTTATTTAACCCAATCCCCTATTGATGGGCATTTAAATTAGTCTAGTCCTTTGCTATTTCCAATTCTGTATCAAATACCCTTGGTCGCAGATCTTCGCTCACATTTGTCAGTGTGTAAGATGAGTTCCTAAAAGATGAATTGGAAGTGGATCCTTTCGTGTTGGCCCCTCCAGCTGACGGTCTATGGATCAGAAGAGAAACGCCCAACCTAGCCCTTCCTCAAGTTCTGGCCCTCAGGATAATAAGCGAAATAATCGGGAATGTGTGAGCCACCAAGTTTTGGGGTAGTTTGTTACACAGTAAGAGGGTATGTAAACTTCCAGTTTTCCTGATATTGTCAAATTTCTTACAGAGAGGTTTACCATTTAAATTTCCATCAATATATGAGAATGCGTATTTTCCCACATTTTCATTAACATGGTGTATTATCAAACTTTTGATCTCTGAAATCTGAAAGGTTAAAATATCTCATGGCTTTAATTTCCTTTTAAAAAATAAATAAAAGTAAATAATATCACACGTAATTTCGTTTATGTAAAAGCCATTTGTGTTAACTCCTGTGATCTGTCCATTTCCTTTTACCCATTTTTAATTGGATTATCAGTCTTTTTCTCATTGATTTGTAAAATCTCTTTATATGTTAAGGCAATTAACATTTTTTTCCCCTACATGTGGCAAATATTTTCCCAAGTTTATGTCTTTTTACTTTGTTTGTGGTAGTGGTGAATGTGCAACCCATGGTTGAAGCATATGTATCTCTCTTTTAGACAGCAGTTACTTAGCGGTCTTAATAATTCAGAGATAGCCATGTATTGGTTAAAGCACATTAGAGGCCAGGAATCTTTCAATGAGATCTATTGTCTATTTTCAGAAATACAACCCAGCATGAATCATTGCTCATACACAAATGTCTACTTAAATTGTAAATGTTCCCCTGGGGCAAGTTTGTTTGCTTTTTAATTATGCACTGAGCTCACCACATTGCTGCGAAGGTAGGGCTTTGTGGAACAGATGCCACGAGAAGAGCGTGCAGGGAGCTGGCACCCGCTCTCCTGCGGGGGCTGCAGGGGGCAGGGTCTCTGGGCCCCGCTGGGAGGGACTGGCTGTCCCAGGGATTGAACCCAAGTTCCCTTTCAGATCAGCAGTTCCTGGAAGGGAATGTTGGGCTGTCACATTCTTATTGAGTACAAATATATCACCCTTCCCCTACAGACACGGGGTGACATGCCAGCCCCTGTTTGCTGTGGTCACAATAACTCAACTCTCCTCCTCGAGCCTTGGCCCAAGCCCTGGGCCTGGGACCATCTGTCCCCAGGTCTCATTCAGACGGTACCCACGCCTCCTGGACAAGAGAGGATAAATGAGATGGACAGGCGTAGGCTCCCTGCCAGGAGCGTAGCTCACCTGCCGGCTCCTGTGCACCAGGACAGAGAAGGGGCGGTCAGGTGAGCTCTTCTCCTTTGTTATTCTCGTCTCCTGGGACCCAGAGGAAAAGTGTCCCTTATGCTTCATTTCGGTTTGCAAGCATAGATGTTGACTCAGACTCTGAACTAGACCCCCCTCCCCGGAGCTTTGCTCAGCGAGGGCAGCAGTTGGCTCAAGGCCAGGAGTGAACGGACTGCCCCCTGGCTGTTAGGGCCCATACAAAGGGCGGGGCGGGGGGCGGGGTAGGGCCTCCAAAAAGCCCCGCTCCCGGAAGTGCCCTTCTGTCTGAGTAAACCTCCCAGGAATCACCTTGCCAAGAAGTCACCTGCTCAGCATTGTCAAGGGAGAACAATTCAATTCTAGAACTCCAAGCC